CCGACTGGCGGGAGGGGGCACGACCCACCAGCCTGGATACCCCAGGGGGCCAGCGGGACCTAACTCCAAGCTTCAAGCCGGCTTCCACCCCTTGTCCTCTGTGTGGGCTCGGCACCATGCAGAACCTGGCTCTCCGTCTGGCCCACCCGTCTAGTTCCTGGCTTTATCTGATTGACTCACTCACCAAACATTTCCTGACGTGGGCCGGTAAGATCCCTGAACTAGACTGCTGGTAGACCTCTGCTTTCAATGCTCTTAGCCCCTTCTGCGGACCCAAACTCCTACACACCCTACAAAACCCAGCCACTAGGACCTCTGGCTCCAGAAAAGGAAAGTCCTCGCTTGGGTGGAGGGGTAGTGTTTGTCTTCCCTTCCCCAGCAAGGGAAGGGAGAGGACCGTTCTCTACAGTGGGTAGCGACCTCCTCCGCCAACTCTGCAGGTGCAGTTCCTGTCCCACGGAACTGTACCCCTTTCGCTCAGTCCCAAAAGGAAGACAGACGTGGGAGCCTCTCCAAGCTGTCCTCAGGGACGCGCCTTCCTTCCCCACCTGCTGGGCCGGAAAGGGCCGGGTGTGTTCTGATAAATGACGCGTTGAAGGCGCGTTCCAGCCGGGCCTCACCCGCTCTCTGACCCCAGCCAAGCTGTGGAGGGTCAGGGACAGACGCCATCCGGGGTGGCCCACGTGCGCCTGGCTGTGGGTTCTCTCCCGGGCTAGGGCTCCGGCAGACCACCCCAGCCACCGTGGGACATTTCAGGGTGTCTTTCCCGTGAGAGACCCGCGGGACCACGCGGGGCAGGACGCTGTGCTTTATTAACCCTACGGGGAGCCTTGCCCTGGAGGTGTGTGCAGGGGGTCTCCGGAGTCCCCTCAGCCCGGCACAGCGCTTGGTCCTGGCCTGGCAGCACCTCGCCGCGGGAGTTCCTTGTTCAACCCAAGTAGACACGAACCCCAGAAGTGGGGGGCATCCAGGAGGCCCCTACCTGGCCCCTGCTCCTACCCGCCCTCCGGTAGCTCCAGATCAGGCCTCTCTCAGTTTCCCCAACCCCCATCGTAAGGACAGTTCATTTTCCCCAAGCTCGTGGTGGAGAGATTGGAGACAGCAGGGTCTGCAGTCCTCACCCCAGGAGGAAGCTGGAAGGTCAGGAGACTGGTTGAGGGCAGCCTGGGCTATAGGAGACCCTGTCAGAGAAGGAAGCGGGGAAGGACAAAGGAAGAGCGACAGAGGAGGGAAGCATCAGGTGGCTTCCCTCTCTCAGCATTGGGCCCTCTCTCTCCCCTGGGGTCCCAGAGAGCCAGCGGCTGCTTTCTGGGTGGGAAACCCCGAGCGGCAGGGTAGCGGGCAGATCCGGGTCGAGAATGGGGATCTCTCTCCGCCACTGCGGTCCTGGAACCTGAGAGGTTGAGGGTCCTTGCACCGGCATGCGGTCGCGCCGCCCCTGGGGCCGCTGCAAACAAGCGGGTGTTTGCGCAGCGCCGCGGCCCAGAGCGATGCGGATTCGATGGAGACGCGGGTCCTTCGGGGATCGATTGGGCGCAGCTGTCGCGGAGCAGCCCCGGGAAGCTGCCACAGGCGAAGCTGGCACAGGCCCGGGCGGTGCAAAAAATCTCGGGGTGCCGCGTGCGCCCTGGGTGAGCCCCGATGCACCACACTCAGAATATGTGTGCAACCCTACACCCGACAGAGAACCTCGGGACCACCCCAGACCCGATACCTCTCGTCTGTCCCCATCACACCCACACTCAGCACGTCCCCTACGGAGGAGGCCAGGCGCTGCGCTGTGGGGAACAGATCCGCAAAGCTTGCAGGTTTGGGGAAGGCTGGCCCGGGGACCTGCGGGCCATCTCTTACTGAACTGGAGGAGACAGTCGCCAGCGTCCCCGGTGAGAATAGCGGGGACAGGTGTGCAGCGGGTGAGACTCTCATTTCCGTGAGAAATAATAAACTGTGGCCTGTCGGAGGAGGCTGGGTGACCCGGCTCAAGGCACAACTTTGGGTGTTTCAAGCCCCTGCATCCATTTTTAGCTAAAATGAGGGCGTCAGACAAGGACCGGTGAGGAGTCCTGGAGGCTGAAGGGGCAGCCGACTGCTACTCCCGCGCAGCCCGTGCAGGTCCCCAACACCCTTGTCGCTTGTGCTTACCCGACCTTTACAGCCCTCCCGGAAATCGAGACCCCTAAACCTCCCATACTTGGGCTGAGCACAGAGACAGCTGGCGTCAGCCTGGAGCAGCCCAACACATCCCAGACACCCAGAGGCCATTTTCCAGGACTCCTGGACTCCACTTCTGATTTTCCTACTGGGAGCTTCCATGAGTTGTCTTAGGTCCCCACGGGTATAAAGATGGGGGCGCCCTCCCCCCCTCCAGCCCTCTCCTCCTCCACCCTCAATTTGCTAATGACCCAAGATCGATCAGGCCCCAGCCACCCGCACGCCCCCGCCCCCGTGGCCCCACTCAATTCTATTTTACTAATTACTAACGGGGGGGGCAGTTCTGGGGCGGAGGGGGGCGATGAAGCGGTGCGGTTCTGAAGGGACCCCTAGATTTTTACTCCATCTCTCCACAGACCCTGCAGAGAGAAGATTTAAGCACAGGCTGCACACACGCCAGAAAAAGTCCCTTCGTGGGGCTGAGAGACCTTCTAAATCTAGGCAGTTCAAAAGGGTGTGTGTGGCACCCGAGGGTGTTCTGACTCAACAGAAATAACCCCCTCTCAAAGTCACCCACCAACTTCTTTTCCTCAAAATGGATCCCTCACTCACCAGGAGGAAAATCCACATTGGTTATTACTTAAAACAAGAACCAGCACAGGAGGGAATGAGGACCGGATTGCAACATCCCGACCCCCTCCGCAGGAGGCCCCCACCGCAGGTGGCTAGCATCGTCCCGACTCGACCCATCCACAGGAACATCCCTGAGTGCAAGCCTTTGAAAGGGCTTCTAGCCTCCTCTTGTTTCTCCATTCATAAACACCCCAGTCAGTCCCCTGCCTGCTATGCTCCCACGGCTCTGCTCTTTGCTTCCAGAAGCCCTGGATGTTATCGGCAAACGGTGGAGGATTGATTTCCACACCCCACGATTATTTTTAATTATCTGTAATGTGGCAGAGTAGACTTGGGGACCTCAGACTTGACTGTGAGCCTGGCCACAGCCGGTACCCCCTACCTCATCACCACATGGAGAGGATACCCAAGTGGTGAGATCGGTCCCTCTCCTTGCCTCCGCCATTCTATCTGGAAGATGTGTGTACCCCAAAATTGTCTAGACACCCCAGATGAGAACACCCTCAGGCTTCTGACCTTTGGGGAGGTGGCTGGGTAAAAACAGACAGAAAAGAATACACTCTGCAACCCTGCCCCACAGGGACCAAGGTGGGAAAATGTGGAACTCTACCTGCTGGTTTTCTTCTGCCCTGTCACCTGAGTCCATGAGCAGGAAGCCCTGGGTCTGATACACACACACATACACACTAGCTGCCCTGTCACCTGAGTCCGTGAGCAGGAAGCCCTGGGTCCGATACACACACACACACACACACACACACACTAGCTGCCCTGTCACCTGAGTCCGTGAGCAGGAAGCCCTGGGTCCGATACACACACACGTACACACTAGTGGCTGTTCCTCCCTCCACAGCTATTCTGGTCCCACGGGGTCAGAGTGGAAAGGGAAACTGAGGAACACAGAAGGCTCTGGTACTACCTGGAGCAAGGACACAATCCTCTATTGGGATAATCTCTCTTCAGCCCAATAGCCCAAGACCAAGCCATTGCTGGGGACAGGCGTGCTCACGTAAGTAGGTACCTGTGATTTTAGGGCAGGGAAAAGAAGGGAGAGAGAGCTGGAACAAAGTTGGGGTCCCCAACTTTGAGGGTTCTTGTTTCCAGGTGCCTTGGGCCGGAAGATATGCCCCCTGTGAGCCCTCCTTCCTCCCTCTCTGTCTAAAGGCTGCAGAAAGAGTTCCTAGGGTCCCTTAGTCTCAGGAAAAACCCAAGCAGGTCTGCATACAGGTGACCTCAGCCAAGATATTCCTAGAACCCAGGCACAGTGTGGGCAGGAGGGTCGTCACACACTAAATTTAGAAGGAATTTCTCCTTCCTTCCTTCCTTTCTTTTATTTGCTTTTTTTTTCTCTCTCTCTCTTGTAGGGTTTCTCTTGTAGCCCTGGCTGTTCTGGAACTCACTCTGTAAACCAGACTGGCCTCGAACTCAGAGATCCGCCTGCCTCTGCCTCCGGCATACTGTGATTAAAGGCGTGTGCCATCACATCCCCCCCCCTATCCACTGGGAAGGTTTTCTATTGTTTTGATAGAAGGTCTTACTAAGTAACTCTGGCTGCACAGCCAGGCTGACCTTGGACTCACCGAAATCCTCCTGCCTCTGCCAGCCTCTACCTCTGCCCTGCCTCAGCCCTGCTGGGATTAAAGACACACGCCCCCCTCCCCGCTCCAGAGGGATTTCTGAAAGTCCCGAGGCTGGGCAGTTCCACAACTGAGGAAACTGAGTCCCAGACCCGCTTTTCCTTTTACTTGAAGTCAATATAGATTGTGATTGTTCTGAGAACCTCCGCACTTCCCCACTTCACCCCCGCAGAGGTCTATTATTATTTTATGCATACGGGGTTGAGCCTGAAAAAGAGCCATGTCTTCTTATGGGGTATCAACTGAGTTCGAGGTACGTGTGATCATACCCCAAGGATTCAGGGGGTGTGCCAGAAGGGCCATACGGGCCAGAGATTAAAAGGCACAAAGATGAGACACATATACCCAGCCTCAGCTAGGGCGCCTCCCCCAATCCCTTGGGTTCTTTTGGCAAGCAAAATGGGGGGGACCAAGGAGCCAGCCTGGAGCTCCAGGGGGTTTGGCGGGTGCAGGCGGAGCAATGGGCGGGGGCGCTGACGTCAGACCCGGGCCCGGGCGCCGGCGGCGGCCGCCCCGCCACATCCTGGTGGCCGCTGCTCGCAGCAGCCGAAGCCGGGTGAGAACACTGAGCGACTGGGACAGCAGCCGCGGCCACCTGGAGCGTTGGCCAGTGGGTGGGGAACATGCAGCGGCCTTGAGCGCGCACGGAAGGGCGCCCAGGATGGAGCTGAGCCTGGAGAGCCTCGGGGGGCTGCACGGGGTGACACACGCTCAAGCTGGCGAGCTGCTGAGTCCCAGCCACGCGCGCTCCGCTGCGGCCCAACACCGAAGCCTGGTGGCATCGGGACGCCCGGGCCTGGTGGCGGGCATGGCTAGCCTGCTGGACGGTGGTGGCGCCGGGGGCGGGGGCGCCGGGGGCGCGGGAGCTGCAGGGGCCGCGGGTGGTGGCCCTGACTTCCGTGGGGAGCTGGCTGGTCCCCTGCACCCGGCCATGGGTATGGCGTGCGAGGGCCCAGGTTTGGGTGGCACCTACACCACGCTCACGCCCTTGCAGCACCTGCCGCCCCTGGCCGCCGTAGCCGACAAGTTCCACCAGCACGCGGTGGCCGGGGCGCACGGAGGCCACCCGCACGCGCACCCTCACCCGGCCACCGCGCCGCCACCGCCCCCTCCGCAGCGCCTGGCGGCCAGCGTGAGCGGCAGCTTCACCCTCATGCGCGACGAGCGGGCGGCGCTGGCCTCGGTGGGCCACCTCTACGGGCCCTACGGCAAGGAGCTGCCCACCATGGGGTCGCCACTGTCGCCGCTGCCCAGCGCGCTGCCCCCAGCTCTGCACAGCGCCCCGCAGCCGCCACCGCCTCCTCCGCCGCCGCTCGCAGCTTACGGGGCTCCGGGCCACCTGGCCGGGGACAAACTACTACCACCCACCGCCTTCGAGCCACACGCCGCGTTGCTGGGACGCGCGGAGGACGCGCTGGCCCGAGGGCTTCCTGGAGGCGGCGGCGGCGCGGGAGGCGGCGGGGCGGCTGGCGGGGCGGCCGCGGGTTTGCTGGCTCCGCTGGGCGGGCTGGCCGCGGCTGGGGCTCACGGGCCTCACTCAGGTGGTGGTGGCCCCGGAGGGGGCGGTGGCGCCGGCGGAGGCGGCAGCGGCCCGGGAGCCGGCGCCGCAGCCGAAGAGATCAACACCAAAGAGGTGGCCCAGCGCATCACCGCCGAGCTGAAGCGCTACAGCATCCCGCAGGCCATCTTCGCGCAGCGCATCCTGTGCCGCTCGCAGGGCACCCTCTCCGACCTGCTGCGCAACCCCAAGCCTTGGAGCAAGCTCAAGTCCGGTCGCGAGACCTTCCGCAGGATGTGGAAGTGGCTGCAGGAGCCCGAGTTCCAGCGCATGTCGGCGCTGCGCCTGGCAGGTAGGGACGAGGGCCCCAGAGGCTTGGCCCTAGGGGGACACACTTGGCTTAGGGTGAGGGACTGACTATCTAGGGCTCCCGGAGAGTAAGTCTCGGTCGGCTGGGGTGGGGGGTTTTCCCCTGGCCTAGGAGGCTGACCTCGGGTCTGCACCGCCAAGATCGCACCGTCGTCGCCGTCCCTGGTCTTGGGGGAGTGTGTAGGGTGTCTGGTGTCTTTGGGGGACTATGTAGGTGTCTAGTGTCTTTGGCGCTAAACTAAAACAACCCTCGCGTAGACCCGTGTATGCGCGCGCGTGGCACACTCCTTCGGTTCCTGATCCAGTGTGTCCCCCGCGACCAGAAGGTGCCACTCCCCTCCTCATAGCTACCCTGCAAGAGGGCCCACCGGCGCCTCTCTGCACCCAGTCAAAAAGCACCGGGTGGCTGACTATGCGGCCAGGCCACCGCTCGGCCCCCAGCCCCAGCACCGATCTCTCTTCCTGTGTAGCTCAACCCCTGCCACCTATCGATCCGCTAGTCCCCTCTCCCTCCCCCCTCTGGCTGCTGGCAAAGGTCATTTGAGATTGGGGGGAGGGGCGACCCATGGGACCCTGGCTTCCGTGGCATCCAGCAGAGGCCTTCACACCGGCGGTGGCTCCCGGCCTTGCTGTCCTTGGTTTCTCTGTCCCCTTCCTACTTCTCTCCATCCACCGGGACAAATGGCAGTCGCTGTCTTTGGACCGGCGCTCGGGTTCCCAGTCCATTCTCTCTTTATTCTTTCCTTCCCTCGTGTCTTGCCTGAGACTCTCCCACACACGCATACCAGTCAGCCCCTGGGGAGCCCGTTGTCTCCTCCTTTGGTCTAATCTATCTGCTCCCACCCTATCTGTGAGTGTGTGTGTGTGTGTCAAGTACCCTACATCCCGTGCGTTTGCGGGGTGCCAGAGAGCCGGTGGTCTAGGCAGAGCGTGGTGGGGAGGGAGCTGTGTACCCCGTTCTAGGGACAATAGCGGTTTCCAGAGAGTCATCGATCCCTCTGCACACAAACACAGAGAGGGGCGGGGCAGCCAGGGCTCGGTAAGGCGCCCCTGAGGCACGAGCAAGCCAGCTAGCCAAGCACCAGGTTGACTGTATCCCCAGGCCACCCTGCAAGCATGGGGGTGAGGGGCGGTGCAGAGAAGCAGGAATACTGGGTGGTACAGGGTGGGTAGAAGCCGATTTGGTTGACACCTGCTCCTGTCCCAACATTCCAAGCCCTGAGCCTCCTGGCCTCCTGCAGCCAGCCTCAGTTTCCCCCTCCCTTGGGAGTCTTCCGTGTGGTAGACAGGCGAGAAACACGGGTTTATCTGAAGGGTCCCATTGCTGGTGACCTAACTGGGATAATGACACATCTCAACACACAGCCCCTCTCCTTCACCTCGCTGATTGTCCTCAAGTGGGATCGCCAGGGACCAGTGCAGTCAGGGCCACAAGCTTCTGGGTGACTGTCACCACATTCTGTGTTCTGTAACACAGGGACACTCCCTGCCCTGCACCCTTCAGCGGCCATGCTGGTCAAGGTAGTGTTTCAGTTGGTCTTTCGTGGACACCATACAAAAGGCAACCACACCACAGGTGCCTTGGGACATCTCTTGGGTGCAGGGTCCCGGAGCCTTAGGTCTAAATTCACATCAACACCAAGGCCGCTGGCCATCGGTGTTATTACAAACAGGAAACTGAGGCCAGACTCATCCTTTCTTGTGCTGCTACGGTGACTGACGTCTCCTCCTCGGGGACTGTATCATGTGAGGTGCTGGACGCTGAGCACACGCGGGGCGCACACTGTTGCAGATAATGAAGATGGCAGACCTGGCCTATTCCAGACCTACCTTAGGGTCCACACTCTGGCACTGCAGCCAGAAGTGGCAGCCAGCCCGACCAGGGTCATTAGGTCCCAGTCTTTAGTTCTGGTCCTTGCACAAATGGAAAGCAGTTAAGTGGCGGTAAATTGTGCTGTTTAGCGGGTGGGGGAGGCGCCAGGCAAGTCCCTTCAACATACTGTGGTTTGGTGACAGCCCGAGGCTTGCAGGTGTCCCCACACCAGTGCCAGACCGGGAGCATTACCCCCTTGTGTGTCTACTTGGGGCAAAATTGGACCTTGGCTTCCATGAGCCCATGAGGGAAATTCTCCTTGCAAGTCACAGCCTCACTAGGAAAACATTGTCCCCAATGCTACCAACTTAAGAGTATCCTGCAAAGCAAAAAACAGTGAGAAAGGAATGGTGTGGGGACAGGGTGTGGAGGGGAGATGATAGAGGATGAATGGATGGATGGATAGATAGATAAATGATTGATAGGCAGATAGATGGATGGGCGGATGGATAGATAGACAGACAGACAGACAGACAGACAGACAGGTGATCGATGGATGGATGGATGGATGGATGGATAGATGATTGATAGATAGGCAGATAGATGGATGGACGGATGGACAGAAAGACAGAGTAGAGAGAGATGGAGAAGAATGAAAGGTGGAAGAGAAGAGAGAGAAGAGAGAGAAGAGAGAGAGGAAAAGAGAGAGAGAGAGATGGAGAGAAATGAGTCAAAGAGAGAGGGAGAAAGAGAGAGGTGGAGAGAGGTGAGCTGGAGAGACAGAGAAAATATAGAGGGATGGAGAGAGGGAAAGAGACCAAAGCAGAAACAGAAAGGAAGACTGGAGACAAAGAAAGGGAGGAGCCATGGCGCTGAAGGTGGCTGAGCTCAAGCCGGGGTCCCCTGGCTGCTCCTGCCCCCCAGCTCCAGGAAAGCATCAGAGCCTTCCCTTTCCTCATTTGGAGACCACTGAGGGTCATTCCTTTCTTTGTCCTTCAACACAGCAAAGAGCCCCAGAATCCCATCCCTACCTCAGTGTGCATTGTCCTCCACAAGCCTCAGTTTCCCCAATGTAAAATATCCATTGTGTGTATGGGGGGAGCCACTGGGGTCCAGACTTTGCCCCCCTAAACACTTTTCCCACCATACTGGGGGGACATTTGTATCTGCTCCCACCCCACCCCAGAGTCCCCTCTCTGAGCTGCGCTCCCCCCACAGATACCCCAGCAATAGCGACTGTGACTATGGGAGCCAGCTGGGGGAGGGGAGGCTCCTGGCGGGTGGGGCGGTCGATGAATTCGAATTACCGTCTGTGATTCATCACCGTGCAGGTCGATAGCCTCGGCCGGCTTCAAATATTGTTTAAATTGCAACTCTGGACTGAAAAAAAATTCTTTTTTTTGTAACTGAGCAGAAAAAAATATACATATATAATAAGACATTCAAAGAAGGGGACAGGAATTCACACACACACTCAGGCACACGCACCACAAACCATACACATCACACACTCACCATATGCATGCACACATACATGCACGCGCACACCCCCCACAAACCATACACACCATACATACACATGCACGCACACACACACTTGCATGCACACACCACAAACCATACACAACATACACACGTCATACATACACATACCATACACACACTCTGTATACACATGCATGAACACACACCACACCACCATACTTACACATAGACACCATACAACCACCATACACACATGCATGAACACACACACCCTCCCTTCTTCAGCCTCTGCCTTAGGTCGCTACACACTGGGAAGGGAAACAGAACCTGCATATGGACAGGTGGGAAGAACATGGAGAAGTTGAGGCAGGAAACGATGGTGGATCTGTGGGGTGCTTGATTCTCTCAGGGGCCACAGGGGGCTGGGGCAGAGGCAGCTGGCCCGCAGAAAGGCCTACGACCCAAGGAGATGGGGCCAGCTGTGGGGTCCCTTGTGTACCGCATGAGACAGGGTTTCCTGGTAATCCAGGTTGGCTGAGGCTGACCCTGAACTCTTGATCTTCCCTCCTGCCTACACCTCCTGAGTGCTGGGATGACAGGCATATATATGATCTGGTTTATGTGGTGCTGGGCTGGGCCTAGGGTCCCATGCGTGTCAGGCCAGGACTCTCCCCACTGAGCTACAGTCCTGCCTCTCTTTCTTAAAGGCCAGGAGTCCTTGTGTAAACATCAGATGCTCTGACTGACAGACACCCCCCCACAGGAGGTTCTGCCCCCGCAGGGGTTAGAAAGACTGTTTTGAAGGCTGTATTCACCTCTGTCTCATCCTTGACGGATTCTAGACAAAGGTCTCAGCCTCGGTTTCCTAATCTGAGAAATGGGAACAGTCGCACAAGCGCCTGAGAGAGCAGCAGGGACTCTGGGAAGGTACCGGGTGGGTGGGTGGCACAAGCCCACATGGGGAAAAAGTGAAGATACTATTTGGGCTGTGGTGGCACACTCTGATACCAGCACGTGGGAGGCAGAGGCAGGCAGATCTCGGTGAGTTCGAGGCCAGCCTGGTCTACAGAGCGAGTTCCAGGACAGGCTCTAAAATTACAGAGAAACCCTGTCTGGAAAAACAACAACAAAAGTGGAGCCATTGCAGGTGCCACCGAGAATACCCAGCAGCTGGAGGCCATGTTCCCAGGGCAGACCATTCCCAAGGGGATGCTCAGGATAAGGACCTGCTGACCTGCTAGTTCCCCAAAGATTGCCATGGAAACATTTACAACTTCTCACAGCGCTGAGACCAAGGCCTCCTCAGCACCTAACACCTGACCACGCCTCCAGCCTCTCACTGGGAAAGATGTGGTCCTTTACAGCTCTCACGAAGGTGACAGTATCCCAGGCACTGGTGAGTTGTCCTGGAACACAGGAACACACAAACTCATGCGCACAGGCACGCCTGCCCGCTCGCACGCACATGCACACACTGCCCAGGAGTCCTCAGAGACCCTCAGGGGAGAAGGAAGGCTTTGACTCAACTGGACACTGTAACTTCCTGTCCCCTCCTGATGCCAGTGTCTGAGGCCAAGTTCACACCTTCCTGCACACCCAATGGCCACTTCCTGTGACGGTACCAGAGTCTGGTAGACAGACAGGTAGACAATTGACCCTTGACTGCTTGGCAAGAGGCTGGGCTG